GGGGATGTTGTGATGTGCGGGGGCGGGGCCAGGCCCGCGCTCCCTCTCACGGCAAGTTGTGTTGTGGGCGGGGCGCGGCGCGGGGCCGGGCCGGGCCCCCGGGGGAGGCAGAGCTGGGCCGCGGGCTCGCGTCGGGGAGGCTAGAGCGGAAACCGGCGCAGCCCGATTCGGGGGAGGGCCGGGCTTGCGGCCGCTCTCACTATCTCTGCCCCCCACCCCAGGCATGGAAGGCTCCAAGCTGTCGGCGTGCACCATGCAGGTGAGCTTCGTGTGCCAGCGCTGCAGCCAGCCCCTCAAGCTGGACACCTCCTTCAAGATCCTGGACAGGGTCACGATCCAGGAGCTGACAGGTGAGGGGACTGGAGCCTCAGGGGAGGCGTGCGGCCGGGCAGCGAGGGACAGAGGTGCTGGCCAGGCTGGCATTCGTGCAGCCAGAGCTATTGTATGGGGAGCAGGCTGGGATCCCTTTGCAGGCAGGATCCTTTTGCAGTGTATGGACTTCTCTGCCTGCAACGTGACAGGCAAGGACTTGCAGGCATCCATGGCCAGAAGGTGATGGAAGAGAAGTCTCTGGGCCTGAAGCCTGGCTGTCTCGTGGGAGTCGGACAGTGAAGGTCTTGTCAGGCACCCGATGAAATAGCCAGGACCCGCTGCTACTGAGCGCAGCAGGTCGTTTCAAAGACTCTGTGGCAGCCAGACCCTTGGGAGTGGATTTAGGGAACCAGCATGGAGTAACTAGTGGAGATGCCTGAAAGGATGCTGAAAGGAAATGGTTGCAGAAAATGCCTGTGATAATCTCATTAATTGGGCCCACTTCAGTATGGCTGACATAGGAAACAGTCTCAGAAACAGCTGATTTGTATCCTGTGAGATTATTTTCCTGTTCTTTAGTAACTGTTATTTCTTGTTCAGCTCCATTACTTACTACAGTGCCTGCAAAACCAGGAGACACTCATGAGGAAGACGCTACCTTGGCAGAGGTAAGGGATCTGTCTGGGTTGAGCCAGATGTAGTTCATGTCTTTCTCATAAGTTCAGTCGTGAAGCAACAGCTTAAGTGTTTTTGAAGGCTGCAGATTAACCTGAGTTGTAAACAAGTTCTTCCTGTGGGGATCATTATCCCTCTTTAGGGAGACGGATGAAGTGGAAACTGACTCAACTGTTTTGTCGTAAGTGCCAGTTGATTGGCTAATAACATGTTACCTCAATTTCTAGGAAGCCTTCACAGAAAACCGTCAGGATGGGGTATCTAGGAGATTCGTTCCTCCAGCAAGGTATCACACAGGGTTTATTCCTCTTGGCCAGTGTGTTTGCAATACATTTGTCAGGGTTTTGTGCTCCTTCAGAAATCCATCTCTAAGAATAGCTGTGATGGAAGGCACTGTAGCTGCTGGTACAATCATGTTTATTCTCAAATGATTATGAATAAAGCCTAAAAAATCTGGATGGGAGGGGATCCCTGTACCTGTTACAAGCTGACTGATAATAGAAGTTGCACATTACATTTGGTGCTGTGTGAACCTCACTTGAGCTTATGCAGAGAGATCCTTGGCTTTCTAATGTACTAATACAAGGGTTTTCAACTTTTAGTAAGTGTACCTCCAGTGGCTGGATGCAGAGTGGGCGGGGAGGGGGTGGGAGTACACTGCTGCCCTTGTCCCTTGCCCTGCTCCTGGGAAGCGGTAGCACAGGGTAGTGGGTGGGTGGCGGCGGTCCATCCCTGCCCACCCACATGTATCCCCTAGCGTTTTCCCAAGTACCCCTGGGGGTATACGTACCTCTGGTTGACAAACCCTGTATTAATCGATCAAATGGGGACCCCACAGGCTTTTAGAGCTACTTAATTTAGGGCCTTATGTTCATTCTCCTTATGCAGTAGCATTAAATCCAGCTGTCCCATTCACTGTTCTTGGGATGGTAATTACCACCTAAGGCAGGGGTAGCCAACCCATGGCTTGTGTACCCAAGTAGCATGAGCAGACGCTGTGTTTTCCATGTGGCAGATCAATGAAAGGGTGGGGGGCAGACTGGCAGATCATGGGAGAGAAGCATTTGAGGAGGGGATGATGATGGATCTTAACTTGTGGCACACCTCCAAAAAAGGCTTGCCACTAGGCCTGTGTGAAGTGGCTAGTATTTGTTTCAGATTTGGCTGATCCAGGGGACAGTGATCCGTAATTCAAATCACTGTCCCGAATTGATTCGGCCAAATCTCCAAATCAAATGGGCCCCATCCCCTGCCTGCTCTCCCAGCCCTGTCAGTGGCTGGCCCGCCTGGCCCCCCCACCCCCGCCATTTAAAAAAAAAAAAAAAAAAAAAAAGCCCTGCACTCACGGGCTGCTGCCAGATTTTTTTGGGGGGGGGAATCCCTGCTGCCCCTCACTGCGTGAAGGGCTCTGCCACAAGCCCCCAGAAGCCCTGATGGCCGCTGCAGCTGCCAGTGTGTGTGGAGGTTTTTTTTGGGTTTTTTTTTACACTGGGGCTGGATGGGGCAGCTATTGACAGGGCTGGGAGAGTGGATGGGGAATAGGGACTTGTGGCAGTGCTGTCCACGCAGCATGGGGCAGTTCGGATTGCCCCCCACGCCTGGCAGCAGCCAGTGAATGTGGGGCTTTTTTTTAAAGAATTGGAGGCTGGAGCTGGGCGGGGCAGCCATTGACATAGCTGGAAGAGTGGTCGGGGGGCACTTAGTGGGGCTGGGGGAGCAGGCAGGGGATAGGGCCTGGCAGGGGTCCCCCCATGGTCCCCTCCCCCCTCTTCCAGCTCCGCACCCCATACTTACTGGCATGGAGTCCAGGTCCAGCTTCCTGCAGCAGCAAGTGGGGACTGCCCGAATCTCTGAAGCTCTCTGAATCTTTTCTGAATCAATTTGGAGCTTCAAATCAATTCAGACCTTTTTATTAGTCTCCCAATTTGATTTGGATTTGGACATTCAGCCAGTGAATTGGGCCAGATTTCCTCTGAATCAAATCAACACCTGAAGCTTCGCACAGCCCTACTTGCCACTTCCCCATCTAAGGCAAGGTTGCCTAACTGGTAGCCTGTGGCCTCTCAGAAGTTGAATAGCCCTGATTTAAGGCTTGGCACAAAACTACTACTTGAAGGTTCCCATAAAGGCCATGCAGACTCTCCCACTGAACTCCATATAAGATTAATACATTGTCCCAAAGGTTATTGATCAGTTAATTCCCTTTTAATTCTTGAACAAGATGTGAGACTTAAAGTAGTAGAGATGTTTCCCTTAGGAACCTGTGGGACTTGACATCAGGAAATCATTATTTTTTTTCCTTCAAATATTTACAACGATTCTTTTTCCTTTAAGAATGATGTCTACAGAAAGTGCCAATAGTTTCACTCTGATTGGAGAAGCTTCTGATGGTGGAACCATGGAGAACCTCAGCAGGAGACTAAAGGTAAGCCTTCATGTGCTATGTGTATTCTGAACACACTGCAAATTGTACTGAGTGCTTTGAAAGTTGGCAGTATAAAGCTTTCTTGACCTTCTAGTCTTCAAATCCTGGTGGGAAAAAATTAAAGTTAAACCAGTTAATTGAGTGTTGGTGCTCAGAAAGGGCATGTGGGAGTTGTCTTGAGGGGCACAAGTCCCTTGTCTGAGAAGCAGAACCTGAAGTTGCCTTTAGATTTGCTCTACTAAGATGAGCTTTTTCTCTAGGTTACTGGTGACCTTTTTGACATTATGTCAGGACAGACAGATGTGGATCACCCTCTGTGTGAGGAATGCACAGATACCCTTCTAGACCAGTTAGACACACAACTTAACATCACAGAGAATGAGTGCCAGAACTACAAGTGAGTGACTTGATGTTGGTCTTAATTTTGAAGAGCAGTGAAAGAATACTGATTTACTCACTTGTCTACTAGTAATTCTTAAATGATTGATGTCCAACAACAAAGTGTTGATTATGCTGCTGGCCAGCTGCAACTAAGCATATCAGAAGCCCTAAGGTGTCATGTTCTGATAACTGCACAATAGGCTTTAATAACCAGTGAGTGTCTTCTATAGGCGATGTCTAGAGATCTTGGAACAAATGAATGAAGAAGACAAGGAAAAATTGCAAATGGAGCTGAAGGAACTCGCTCTGGAGGAGGAGCAGTTGATCCAGGAGCTGGAAGATGTGGAGAAGAACCGCAAGATTGTAGCAGAAGACTTTAAGAGGGTCAGGGCAGAAGCAGAGAGGCTGGATCAGGAGGAGGCACAGTAAGTCTTAGCTAAAACTGCATTGCAGGGTAGTGGTGATGAATATATAGATGACTGGGCGCATCAGCTAGGATTGTGGGTAAATACATAAATAATGTCTCCCTAATAAATTGCCAATATTGCCTGGGTACAAGTGACTTCATCTGCTACAAACTGGGATAGCCTTGTACTTTTAGTTAGACCAAAAATTGCACAAGCTGTGAAATTGGGGTTTTCCTCTTACTTCGAGGGAATGGTTCACAATGGAGCTAGTGCTCTTGCCATCCTGCACTCTTAGTAGCTTTCTCCTTTTTGCTTTTTGAAGGTATCAGAAGGAATACTGTGAATTCAAGAGGCAGCAACTGGAGTTGGATGATGAACTGAAAAGTGTTGATAACCAGATGCGTTATGCCCAGATGCAGTTGGATAAACTGAAGAAAACTAATGTGTTCAATGCAACATTTCATATCTGGTAATGTTTAGACACTGGAGTAAATGGCATCAGCTTCCAGAAATCTGCATTTCAGTATCAGTTTGGATGAGTTTATATAGCAATATAGGTATGAGCACAGGTTGCATAATACCATATTGTTGCAAGCAGCTGATCAGATCTTCGCGCTGCTGAAAGGGTAACCAGGAAGAGCCTGTACAGGTTTCCCTCGCTTTATGCAGTTTCTGTATGTGTAAATTCACTCTTATGCAATGAGCCTTTTTATACCAAAAATTCGTTATATGCAAGGTAAATTTACTCCTAAGCAATTGATGTGGTGGAAGCCTGCAATCAGCTGCTTTGTGTGGTGCATTGTGGGAGTGACAAGCACCAAAATATAGTCTCCTTTGTGGATCTGTGCTCACTCATCTGTGACACCGTGTTTCTGTAATTGCTGTCCCCATTGTGATAGTTCCCTGTGCTTGTGTGTACTGTCTGCTGTTGGTGAGTACCAAAATTGTCTGGGAAAAGGGGTAGACATGGGCCTGGGGGTTAGTACAGTTGAGGCCTTGGAACATATCTCTACTTGTTACATTGTAAAGTGGGTTCCCTTTATGCAAATTTGAGCTATGCGCCATTTTCCATGAACAGATGTACAGCATAAAGTGAGGGAAACCTGTACTTTATCCAGCCTGCATACAGAACTATAAATAGGAGAGCAGGTATTAGGGCTGGGTCAAATAAGCTGTCAAACTGGATACCACATGGGCTCCAAAGCTATGTTCCTAAGCAAATGGCTATGCTGGAGGGCAACTCTGAGCTTGTCCCTTGTTCAGCATGGCTAGCGTAGAACTTGTTTGCAGTTCTTTCTGTAATGTTTGGGATGTATTCTGAGCTTCTGAGTGGGTTGCAGTCTCAAGTGGTTAATTTACACTAACTAACAATTAGGACGAGACCCTTTTGTGCTGTGTACCATGAGCGATCCTTGCTTCAGTAATCTTATTTATGACTTCTGCCACAGGCACAGTGGACAGTTTGGCACAATTAATAACTTTAGACTTGGCCGTCTCCCCAGCGTTCCTGTAGAATGGAATGAGATCAATGCAGCTTGGGGGCAAACAGTGTTACTACTGCATGCTCTTGCCAACAAGATGGGCCTGAAGTTTCAAAGGTAAGAGCTGTCCCTTACACAACTTGGCAATTTGTAAAGCTGCTGTGGTTAAGAACACTTGGATTAATTTTCCTTTTGAACTGTTTCTTTCAGATACCGTCTCGTTCCATATGGGAACCATTCCTATTTAGAGTCCCTCACAGACAAATCAAAGGTAAAAAGCCTTAGTTCATGCATCGGTAATATGGTTTGAAATACAGACTTCCCCAGTTCACACCAGTTGGATGGGGCAGAATACTTCTTGCTGTAAGTTTAATAAAGTTGCTGCAGTAAATGCTTTATTCTTCAACTCTCTAGGCAGGTTGGGGGAAAGCAGAGGAAGTCTCTCCCATAAAAATGTAAATTCCTATAGCCAGTTGAATTGAACTAATAGGCTCCAGTCCTGTCCAGTTGACTAATGGTGGATGACTCAAATGAGTAGCATGAGTGCTGGAATGTTCAAGGAGAGTCCACTGTTTTCTTGAAAACGATTCCCAGTGACATCTCACTGCAAATTACAGAACATCTAAAATGGATTTTCTGATGTTTGGATTTGTCTACTGTGTTTTTCAGGAGTTGCCCTTGTATTGCTCTGGAGGTTTAAGATTCTTTTGGGACAATAAATTTGATCATGCGATGGTGGCTTTTTTGGACTGTGTGCAGCAATTTAAAGAAGAGGTGGAAAAAGGCGAAACTCATTTCTGTTTGCCCTACAGGTTAGTGCTGCTCTTTATTCCACTTTGCTAATTTGTGCAGTACTGCCAGAACATATCCATCCTGATTCACAGAACCCTTTACTTTTTTTATTCCTGGCTTCCTGGTAGCCAGTTGCAATAAATGCTGCTTAAGATGTGGAGTATAAAACCCCTATGCCTGTCTTCTGATGTAATTGGAAGGACCAGGGTATGGTTGTTTTTTTAAACAGCAGTCCTTACATGTCTTCAGATAAGGAATAAGCGTGATAGAAAACGTTTAGCAGTTACGTACAGTTCATAGCTATTTACAGTGACTGAAAAAAATGTATTTTAGTCAAGTCTGACCTCAAAGTAATCACTGGAAAGTAAGTTTCAGGGGCAGTGGAAGGCACACTCACTTTACAAGTAGAATTGATTAGTGGTTTCAGAGATGATACTGTTACTTGCAATGTAAATGTGCTAATGTTCTGTTTCTGCAATACAGAATGGATGTGGAAAAAGGCAAGATAGAAGATACAGGGGGCAGCGGTGGCTCTTACTCTATTAAAACCCAGTTTAATTCAGAGGAGCAATGGACAAAAGCACTCAAGTTCATGTTAACTAACCTGAAATGGGGTCTTGCCTGGGTTTCATCTCAATTCTATAACAAATGACTGCATGAAGAACTTACCCTGATGGCTATGGAGTATCTGCATTTTGTTTTGAAGAATATCAGATTAAGTTGTCACTTAATATTAACCAGTACAGGATGTTTACAATACCAAAAATCCACAAGACACTTTATTTAAAATTTCATACCACAAGTAATATGTAGAAAAGCAATATGTAAAGTTATGCTGTTAAGCGGAACAGAATAAAATTAAGCTGTTCATGAAGTAGCTATTTAGCTTTTATGTATATTGTGCTTTTATGTATGTCAAAACTTATTTTACTGTACAAGTGGATATTTAATACCATTGCAACTTTTAAACAAATTGTATCTTAGGAAAATGAAGTACTAAGAATACAGTGGGGAAAAAACTCATAGGCACTTTGCCTGGTCACCTTAAAGCTTGAACATATTTATTTTTTCTTTAAATCAGATACAGATGCGCACTTAACTTGGTGCCATTCAAATTTACTAGGGTTTGATACTATTTAAAATGTTGCTATAATATTTAAATGTTTCTATCCAGTATTTCTTGCAGTCTGTTACTGCACAAAGGTGCACTGAACACTGTAATAAAAGTTTGTATTCTAGACAAGGAGTGTTCACTGAATGAAAGCACTACCTGCAGCATAACATTCCTCTGCACTGAGATGGATATATCAAACAACCTCCAACCCAAATGAGGTTTGCATCTGCCTCAAAGCATGCAGTGCTGTTTGATTTGCATTTCTCCTTCAAGTGTCTGCTACCTGAATTTTCTGTGGGGACAGATAACTGGATTAGTGGGGTATCTAGTACTGAAGATCCTAGGACAATAGTGCCCAACCTTTTGGGGCTCTAGGCCATATGCATGGTGTGGAATGGGTCTTGACTAGTCTCTCAATATGCTTTGGCCCTTCCCCCTGGTCCTATGCATACCTTCATGCATACTGGATCAGCCTTGTTGCCCCACTGCCCTGGTTCCTTGCATGCTGGTGGGATCCTGTGCACAAAGTCATATCATCTGGCCTGTGGGGCATGAGAACTCAGCAGTAGGGGAGTACTAGCACTATTCATTGCCATTGCTTCTGCCCTACCCTTCCCAAATAATTTCCAGAGTCCTCTGAGCCAGAGGTTGAGAACCCCTGCTGCAGTATGCTGAGAGCTGTTACTCTGCAACAACTACTATACAGGAAGAAAATACAGCCTTGTTTGCAAAGCTTTTATTAGGGGATTTATCATGAGCATTTTGTATATTCCCAAACCATGGTGGAGTCTTTTCTATGAGTGGCCTTGACAATCCAATCCGAGTTGTTGTGAACTTCTTCAAAGGACACCCAAGCTGCAAATTTACAAAATCTAGCTGCGGTTTTTTCCTTTAATAAAACCCTTTTTTTGTCCCAAATGACACTGCTATGCTCTCTCCATAAGAGAGGTAGGGGATAGTCTGCAGAGGCTGTTATACAACCACTATAGCTCATCAGAAAGGAGTTAAAGTTCCCTGTTTGGTATGATAAAGGATGGATCCTTTCCAGTAACATGCTGGCTTTGAGAACGCTGTTGAAAAAAAAACAAATCCATGTTTACCATTAAGTAGTGTAGTACTCCTGAAAACATCATTCCATCCTTCTTGCATTGGTTCCAGTGGGTGTAGTGCCAAGACTGTGCTTTAGTATTGCATATAAAAATTCAAAAATGCTTTGTGAGGTAATGCCAGTGATGCAGTTCAAATGCTCCACAACCTTTAAAAAAAATAAACCCCTACTTCAAATACTTTTTCATTTTGAAGTTTAAGCTGAATACTTTTAAAGGGAAAGAAACAAATGATAATTGTCATGCCACCATGATACAGCTTAGTAGCCCTTTGCAGTGGACCAAATGAAGAACCTTTCAGTGGGAGAAAAGAGAACTGAGTTTTCACACTTAGTTCATTCTACTGGAGATTATTAAAACAGGCCTTTGTTAGACTTAAAAACTGATACTTGTCAGCTTAGAATCAAGGTATCCTGTAGCTAGTTTGGCAGAAATCTGGTGTGCTAGAGAGGTTACTTCCATATGAAGATGCTGCTATTGACAATCATTGATTTGTTACAGGTGTAAGAATGTTGTAAGCTTTATTTTGGAAAGAAATTGGGGCAGGGGGAGGGGCAGTTTCTTTTGTAAACTGGAGATAATTGAAGAATCTGCCTTCCTGATAATTTCTACCTGGTCCTATCCCTGATTTTTTTTCTTGTTAATCTTAAACTGAAATGTTTCTCCCCTCAAAATAATTTCTCTTCGCACTGTCTAAATGGTAGAATTTTTTCATTCTCGTAAGGCTTTTAACTGCAGTGACTCTACCTGATTCCAGTGTTCAGGGTTTAGTATGAAAGCACTTGTTCCAATAATTCCAGCTGCCAAGAGCATAAAATCTTCTTTTACTGACAAAAACTTTGCTCTGTACAAAAACAAAAACCAAACCAGTGATGTGTGGTTTAAAATGAGGCGGGTTCTGTATTTCAACTACAGTCATGTTTAATATTTGATTTTGTATATGTGGGACTCAGTAAACACAAGTAACATTGTAATAACATCTAGGTACAACCCTCCCCTTTCAGGTCACCTCATGCTGGTATTAATAGCTTCAACTTAAAAGTTCAGTTTATGTACCAGTTTTCTTAAAGAAAAGATAGACAAGAAGCGTGAGTTAAGGAACATTCTCCCAGTCTCCTTCCATAGCAATGTTGCTAAAATATGTGGAAATGTTGAGTGAAACTAGTTCTATCCAGAACCAACTACTATTAATACACCACACTTTGTGCTAATTAGTATTGACATTGTCGTAGTAATTTATCTTCTAAACTTTCCTTTTGCAAATACTAATTAATCTATGTCTGGGAGATCAGATAAATACTCATTCTTCTAGAGATGTATCAATAGGGAGGAAGGTACTCTGATTTATCCAGCATGACAAACAGTCAGTGTCAGTGCAGAATTGGAACAGACTACCTCCAAATGCTATTTTCTATGAAAAGGAAGTCTTGTACAGAGACTGTTCTCAGCATTTCAAAGAATTTACTTAAATCAAGAAACTTCAGTCTCATATTCTTAGTGCATAAAAAATACCCTGCTAACTGGTATTGCAAGTAACCAACTCATTTTGGCTTACAAAGCACTTCTCAGTTACTGTGCTGTCAAACTGCAGCAAATGTAAGTCAGAGATACAAGTTTGTGTCCTTCACCAGCCTTTTTTCTCTAAATACACAAAACACTGGTATTAGTTCAAACATGTCCTTAAGACTTGTATACTTACATCTGGAGTTCATTTGGCATTGAATTTTCAATAGAAGTCTTTAGCAATGTATTGTAGATAACATCGCGCATGAGGTAAGTTAAATCCAGCAGATGCACACACATTTCATGCAATTGTTTTAAAGACAGTAAGCAGCCATTATGTCCTAAGGTAAAGATTTGAGGGTCAGCTGTATCTATTTTGTGGCCCAGACCAAATTAGGAAAAATATTAGAAGCATGAGAATTGGTTCCTAAGCTTTTCAGCAGTGACTGCCATACCCCGTGAGAGCCTTAACTTGATGCTCTGTAAGAGAATGTGATTTTACTCAGGTCCTCTAAGGCATTCGTTGAACACCCCAAAACACATACTGTGTGTGTATATGAGGTACTATACTTTGGAAAAAGTATGACCTCATATAGAGCGCGGGGGGGGGCGGCCCAGGGAGTAAATCTATTAAGTTTTTATTAGTGTTTTGCCAAATGAGTCCAGGAGCCAACTACATCTTGCGGAGCAGAAATGCTGGACTCCTTGATCTGTGCAACAGGGTAAAGCTTATTTTATTTTATCACTTGTGGCAGATGACTCTCAAGCAGATTTTTTATTTTGAAAGGTAGAACAAAACCTCAGATTTACCCTAAGAAATGGTACTAAATAGGGAGAATGCATCAAATCTTTAGGGTTTTTTCCCCATTAGTAATGATGGCTTGTCCACAGGGACAATCTTTTTTTTCCACTGTCACTTCATATATGGACTTTACCTCTACAAAAGATTAATCTGACACTCCTTCAGGTTCACTGTTTCCATATTTTCTACTTTTTAGCCTTTTGGTTTCTACACAATTGTTTCCTGCTGTTCATGCCCTTACCCAAGACTTCCAGGAGCAACTCAACATAGGCCAAAGGAGTTGGCAAATTGATCTGGAAGTGTAAACCCTTCAAAATGGCAAGTTCTGACTCCAGCAATTCCTGTTTAGTGAAGGAATAGTCTAAAGACTGCAGAAATTTCAGAACTGTGTTATTGTTAACTATCTGGAAGAAAAAAAGCCAAGTTTATTTTGTGTTATTTTTAAAACATAACACCCCCTTCCAGCAGTGAGATGCGTTTTCTCAAAACCCATGCTTTAATTATTAACATGACTTGCTGATAATATTTCCTGTTTCAGTTATGCCTGCCATTAGCTTTTATACCTAACTTGTCCTCTAAGCTAGAAGAGGAAACCAAGTTGGATAAGTTTTGCCATATAACTGCTCCCCTGCCAGGCAGTACCAGATACTGAGATTCATAGAGGTTGGTGTCCTATTGGATGCGAAATCAGTGATTCTGATTCTAGGTATCTTCTTAGTACATCTTATTTTATTTGCGTTATATACACCTGTTGTGGAATAAATGTGGCTCTATGAAATCTCAGCTCACTTCTCAAAAAGCATCCAAAGAACTAACACTAGCCAAATTAAAGCAGAGAAACTTGTTACAGGATCTCTAAAAGTCATGAAGCTAACAGCGATTCAATATCACTCCAAAGAGTGAATCGGGCTTGTACGCTAAGAAAAAGAACTTGGGTAAACTGTGAGTCACAGCAGTACCTTACATCTCCCACCACAATACTGGATTTTGTGCTCTTATTAGCAACTAGATGACACAAGTCATGGGACTCCAAGCGGTAACACTGTGTGTTGTTGGTTCTTTTCACTAGTTTGTTGCAAAGGTGCAGGGGTATTTTCTGAGTAAAAATTCCTTCCCTTAAAATGGATGGATATCTAGATCTACACCCAAGCTGTTCTTAATTCATAGATCACTGCTGTCTTTGAAAACAGTAATAAGTTCTGTGAACTGGAGATAAGAGAAACTGAAATCTAAATGACAAATACTATCCTATACTGCTGAAAGCTGCAATGAGGAAGCGTTTGGTTTGCTTACGCTGTAGTGGAAGGAAAGTTTGCTTGCAAGCTGAATGCAAGACACAAGCCGCAGCATAAACGTGTTGTGCATCTGTGCTTTCAAAGAATTCCAGCTGTGGCTCCGTCCTTGTTCACCGCTTTCCCCTGACTCTTCAGTGGAATTATACATCTCTTGTACCTGTTTAATCATAAACCTGCAAGAAAAGTCCAGCTCTCAGGAAGCAACTACCTCTTGCTAATGGAAAGAACAACTGTTTGTGTGTGGATTAAGAACACTCTACAACTAGAAATCACAGGTACAGAGATGGTTAAAAGGCAGAGAGAAAAATATTCTACAGCCTGCAGCTGAGCATTGCAGAATGAGGAGTATACCCTATTTACTGGAACCCAAGGCAGATTTCCTTCCCCTCCACGCCCCCTTCAGTATCTGGGAGGGCTCCAGGCTGGGGCTCTTGCTGCCTGACAAGGAGTGGGGAATGGATTGGGTGGTAGGGGGAAAGACACCCACCAGTGGCCTCCCCCTGCTCCTGCCTCTACACACCCTCCCCAGCCACAGAAACCACCCTGGCTCAGCCCAGATGAGGGCAGGGGAGTGCCTGTGGTTTCAGCTGCAGGGGACCCACACCAGGGCCAGAGCTGCTGTATAGGGGAAGCAGGGAGCAAGTAGGGGCTTTCCCTAACCACAGTAGGGGACCGCGGGCAGGGGGGGAAAGCTTAAGACAATCTTCCAAAGCTCGGGCAACAACGCCGGGAGGTGCCGAGGACCGCCGTGTTCTTCACGCGCAGAATCACGCTCCGGGGGGCTTCAACGGGGGCGAGGCGGGTCCGCCCCCCGCGCGCGGCGGTACCTGTCGAATATCTCCGCCGCCTGGTAGCGGGCCGGGGGGTCCAGGCGCCACTTCTCCGCTAGGAGGAAGATCAGTTCTGCGGAGAGAAGGGCACTAGGAGACCCCGCGGGAGGGGAACGGCGCCCTTCGCGCTCAGGGGAGGGGAGGGCAGGGGAAGGGCCGCTCCGCAGGAGCGCGGCCGCAGCCGCCCGAAGGCGCACGGAAGTCGGGCGGGGCCGGCCCGGGCCATCCCCACAGCTCGCAGGGATGCCGCAGTTCCCCCCGCCTCTGGGCTTCTCCTGGTCACGTGATGTGAGTCCCCCAATCGCGGGGCGCCTTCCTCCCTCTCTCCCGCCTCGAGACGTTCTGCTGCATGTGGAGATTGGCCAGCCCTAGGAGCGGGCTTTGAGAGTCGGGTCAGTCGCTTTCTGCCCTTATCAAAGATGGTGGGGACGACGCCCGGCACGGGTGACGTCACACCGGTCCTGTCCGGATGTGACGTTACCGCCCTCGCGCCCCACTTCCGCGGCGGAAGAAGCGGGTGCGCAGTATGGAGACGCCGCCGGGTCCGCGCGAGGAGGTGGTGGCGAAGCGGATTGACCCCGCGCGGGACCCGGACCTCAGCGTCGAGCAGCGCCGCATCATCCAGAGCCTGGAGTACGCGCAGCAGCAGCGCGCCATGCAGCGCCGGCTCCGCGGCCGCAACGCGCTGCTGGCGCTCGGCATCGGCTCCATCACGCTTGGCATCTGTATCCTTCAGGGGCGGGGGTGCGGGGCCGGGGGGCCCGGGGCGGTGCTGGCGTTTTCCTGAGCGGGCGTGCAGACGCCTACACCTTCTACTCGGGGTCCCAGGAGCGG